TTTGTACACCAGCACTAGCCCCTTACCTGTTGCCTGGGAGCAAGTGGGTAGCCCATGCAGTTCCTTCAGCAAGGCAGTTGCGTGCCGAAAAGGGGCCGCTCCCGACAAAAGCCCAGCTGCTGCATTCTGTGTGGCTCCAGTCTGTTAGGACAACCCTACACAGAGCACGTCGTGGTTGTTCGGTCTGGAGCTCAGCTGTATCCATATCAGTGTGGCCAAGCTCTCCCTGTCCTGATTGGCTGTAGCTGGAGAACCAGTCAGAGTTGCTGGGAGGCACTTGGCACAGCCTCTGAGCTGACCTGGGCCAGACATTCCTTCAGAATGAGGATGCCTTCAGATACAGCTGTGCCCTTTAACAGGCCTCCAAACAGGGAGCTGTTCTCTGTAAAATAGGGCCCCTGGCCTCCCTATGATGCCAGGGACCACATGCGGTGCTCGAGTCCTCCTCCTTGTGCTCCCTCCAGCTTTAGAGGGAACCAGAGTGTTGTGTGATTTCAGACAGTGAATGTGGGCACATGGGCTTTATGTGCCTCTTCTCCATAGCAAAGCAAAGCAAAGCAAAGCAAAGCAAAGCAAAGCAAAGCAAAGCATCCCTCTAATAGTTTTTCCAGATAGAGAAATATCAGGAAATGCCTACAGCCCCACCTTGTACTTGCCACCTCTGTGCAGCACTTGCTTCTTGCTTGTTGTTTTTGAAGGGACAGCCAACCCTGAGCACCCATTAATGGTCCAAGAAGGTACAGCCTGCCACAGGCAGAACTAGAATGCTGTCACTTCAGAGGGAAAAGCTGCCAGGCAATCAGGCGCTTGGTTCCTTGGTAATCTGAGTCCTCTGTCAAGGGGATTCCCTGCCTTGCAGCCTCCTTATCAGAGCAAAACCCGTGAGGTTGACGTAAGAGCCTGCAACACCTGCTCAGCACCTTGCGAAATGCTTGCTTTTTAAAGCTAAAGTAGCAGTGTTCACAAAGCAAAGAGGTTTGATTCATGGCCACGTGGCACAGCAGTTTCTCAGAGAATTACATTATGGTGCAGTGCAGAAAATGATGCAGAGGAGCTTGGAAAGAAATGGAAGATGGAAAGGGCATTTTTTCCTACTCTTTCTCTCTGGCATGTCCCTGCCCCCTTTAAATTGCAGCTCTTTTGCTCCAGCAAGACTTCCTCCTCCTCCTCCTCTTCTTCAGCCCTGTTTCCAGCAAAACTTTTTTAAAATAAAGGCTCTTTATGTGCAACTGTCTCATCAGGAAGCTTTTTATATAAAAAACAGTGTTTGCAACTTTTTCTCACCAGCAAGCCTTAAAAAAGCATTTTCCATCTCTCACCACCAAGTATTTTAAAAAGTGTTTGCAATTCCCTCGCCAATAATTAAAAAAGCTCCCTTTCCACTCGCATCTCAGTTCATAACCCACAACTTATTGCCACTCACCAATCTATTCTAAAAATGCACAATCTTCCCATTTCCTGTAAAAAGGCAGAGCAACAAGAAATAAATTGGGGAGGTGCGGCAGGCACACATAACAGTGCAAGGCAAGCAAACACAGTAGTCCATGCAGCAAGAAGCCACTGATCTTTGGGTTGCACATGGATGGAATCTCACCAGCACTTGCAAGAAAGGGCGGCAACTTGCGCAAGGAGGGAAACTAGGAAGAGTTGTTGGGGAAAGGCACTGGAAGCCACTGTGGGCTAGCGAGGATGCAAGGCCAAAAGCCTCAGCAAGCCCTGCCCCGGCCTCACTGTGCCACATTCACAACCTTTCCTCTTGGCTCAGACAGACATGAGTGGGCTGATCACGTAGGACCTTCCCAGCCCATTGCTTTCCACCAGCCTAGACAATTGGCCTTCTCTATGGAGCTCCTGAATCCAGATGTTCCAACTGTGAGGAAATGTGGAATAGTAATTCCTATGCAGTTATAGTGGCATATCCATTAGCTCTGCCCGCAAACATTTTGGGTGTGTGTTTGTGGAGGGTGCATGAATGCAGAAACGTGGAGTGCCAGATGGGAATTAGGGATTACTGTTTCTTGTGTGGACTGTAGTAATGTGGATAGCAGCAACCTGGTGAATTACAATAGCCTTGTGGATTATAGTAAATCTGTAGATTCTTAAAGTTATGGCAGCATATAAATATATAATAATAAATATAATAATAATAAAATGTCCTAATTTGTGCATGTATCAATTTAATTTTTCCTTCAGGGGCATTTTCCCTTCTTTTTTATTCTTCCTGTTTTTTGCACATTCCTATATGCTAATCATGAGTTGTTTTCCTTTATGTTAAATGCTTCATTTTAAAGTCATCCCTGTTTTTAGTTGCTTTTTTTTTTTTTTTTTTTTTGGTTTTAAATGCTGGATTTTGTAGCTGCTTTTAGAATATTTTTAAATATGCTTTCTTATTGGTTTTATCGTTTTCACTTTTTGTTTTTGTATGCCACCTTGAAAGCTAAAGGGCAACTTAATGAATTGTTTTTGTTTGCCTCTCACCTGTAAACATTTAACTCTGTTCAATTGTAAATGTGAATTCCTATCTCAATCTGAAGTTAATGTTGGGTTTTGCTTGTTTTGAGTGGACATGTCAGTTGAACCAGCCTTGATGTGGGAAACTTAAGCTTCACATGATTAAGTAACTGAAGAGGCACAAACCATAGAATCACAATGTAACTCTTAAGAATGTAAGAGCCACGCTGGATCCAACCAAAGTCCATCCAGCCCAGCATTCCTTAGTGCAATGGGACCTTCCTGCCCACGTTCCCCAGCACTTGGTGTACATAAGTATAAGGCCTCTGCTATCGGAGGACAACTCTTGCAGTCTGAAGGGGTATAATCCAGCAACAGCTGCACGTGGTTCACCCTAGCATTCAACCTGGGCTTCAGAAAGAGCATGTGGTTTGAGCAGCAGGTGTGTTTTGAAGGGTAGGCGGTAAGCACATGGAGCTTCCTCTATCTGAAATAAATCTAGAATGATAGTGGGCCTTCCAGGAGGAGGAAGGAGTTCCTCTGAAAGGCATTTCCTTTGAAACTGTGGTTTCAAAACTTGGTAACTCTGAAAACAGTTGGGTTACAAAATGTTATGAATGTGGTTGGTTCTGTTCAACTTGTTACCATTTGAGGAAGTTCAGAAACTTCTACCTTAACAGATGGAAACTAGGCTTTTAACTATGCATCCTCCAGCTTTTAGGCAAGACCGGCAGGACATTGGTGTCCGTATGGAAAATGGAACTACTGGAACCAGACTCCAAATAACCATAATCCAGTGTTCTGGGTAACAAGCAACTTGGTGAAGTGCACAGTATATATTGTCATAATTATTCCTTTCAAGAGGTCGGCACACAGCTCTTTGGGCATGATTCACTTTTGCATCTGTTTATTGGCATGTGATTGATCTTCCATGTGTATCTAATATTTAAAAGGTTCAGAAAGTGAAAGTATCTCAGCATGAAGGATTTTGTTTGTATTTACTGTTAAAGCATCAGTTGAGGACAAACCCACAACAATGACAGGAACAACTCAGCCAGCTTGGAAGGGCAATAATTTCTGTTGTAAACCACAGGTTGAGAAGTTGCTGCAAGAGCACATCTCTTATTTTTATTTAGACAATTTCTATGCTGCCCCATTTGCCGAAGCCTCGGGTCGGCTCACAAACAGGGACCGTTGCTGACAGAGTGAGCTAGAACCAGTCATGCTGTCCTTAATGCGCCGCAGCAGGTCAGCCCGTGCTAAAAGCATGGCACAACACAACAACGGCACAATACAGCACAGGACACAGTTACATCACCACAGTGTCCCTTGCACCCCAGCCCAAATACTTCTTCACCAGTGTTGTGACTTACATCGCTTGCTTTGACTGCTTGTGTAATGCAACGTTGCTGCAGAGGTGGTTTCCTGTCTATTCAGACACTCCATTTCTGCACCTCCCTAGTTTATTTTTTCAGTCTCTCTTTCTCTTTGGCCTGTTTTAGGGGGAGCCTCCCTACAATTTTTCCCTAACGACTCTTCTACTTGAGCCTCTTGATATCTGCTATGCATGGGAGTACCAGTTGGCCCATATATGGATCCACAGTCAGAACAAGCGCCTGTCATGAGTATATTGCAACAGTGGGCAATATGTGGCCCACACAGCCCCCGGTGCTCCCCTCAAAGTATTACAGAATAGTTTTCAGCCAAATTGTGCTTTGAAACAGCTTTGGCCCATTGAAAACAAGCTCATGTTGACCATTCAGGCATTCTGTAGCTGCTCCATGCACCAATTAAATATATGTTTCATATATATGTCACTTACTGATTTGATTTAAAATAGGCTCTGGGCAGTTTACATGAAATTAAAAACGATGAAAACTGAACTAAAAATAACATCTTAAATAAAACGGATGTGAGGGTTAATCTGGGAAGTCCTGTTGGAAGAGATACGTCTTTAGCTCCCTCTTGAAGGGAACAAACAGCCTGGGATATCAGATGCGTCTTTCCTGTAATCCATTCCACCGTTTAGGGCAACCACTGAGAAAATGCTCTGGGTAGCTGGCATTGATCTTTCAGAAGCAGACCCCTCAAGATTATCCCCAGAGGACCTTCGCTAGCGAGGTGCAATGTATAGACAATGTATGTGGCATTACAGAAGAGACAGTGCAATCCTCAGGGCAAAAATGACCTCCAGCGTTGCTCATCCCTCACAGCACTCTGAATAATTTTTTAAAATCATACATTTATATGGTCCTTGGTAAGAGCACACAATATTTACATAGCGCTTCAGGTGTTCAAAGCACCTTGACAAATACTCTCCCTGTAATCTTTACTACAACCCTTTGAAGGAAGGTTTTTCTTTTCATCCCTGCTCTGAAGATGAAAAGTGGGGCAAAAGGCACAAGAGTTTAGACCGGAACAACCTGGGGGAAGGATGTTTGAGGGCTGCTCCTTCTGCCTAGGCTGCTGAAAAGACCTTTGTCAGGCCCCCTCGTTAAGGAAAGTTTCCAGGCATAAGTAGGGGGGAAAATACAAATTAGCATCACAGGTACTAAATGGGGTGCAACTTTATTTACAATGTAAAGTGCATCAGACAGAAGTTCTTAAAACACATGACAAGCAGTGACATAAATGACAGTACATTATTTGCATTTAAAAGTTAATTTTAAAAAGTGATGATTCCTATGAGGATTTCATACTTCAAACAGCAATCTAATTTTATCATCCAGCCGTTTACCTCTAGGCATTGCACATCTAGCCAACAGTGCTTAAGGGCTCTTTCTGGTTCAGCTTCTCAGCCTTGTCTATTCACCCACGTCAACTGGAAAGTGCACGACCTGGTAGTGCTCAAAACAGGCCATCTGGCTTCACTGTCCCTGTCCAACATTTCCCTGCCTCTCAGAACAAAAGTGTTAGGCTCAAAATGCAGCCATCTTGGAGGAAGGTAAGATGCAGGATGTTCTAAGGATTATATGCATGAATGCAGTGGGAAATCGGTGAGTTTTCCAAAGAATCAAGATGCACAATGATAGTTAGTTTTCATTCCTTTTTCTAATTGTATGAAGATTTCTTAAGGTTGAAAGCGTATACATCAGCCTTCCCCAACCAAGTGCCCTCTAGGTGTTTTGAACTACAACTTACACCTCTCCTGACTCCAGCTTTTGGGATGATGGGTACAGTCGTCCAAAATATAGGAGGGTGCCAGTCTGAGAAAGGCTGTTATGCACAAGCCTCACTGACCTCAGCAGGACTTACTTCTAAGCAAGCTCACTATAGCCTTTATGGGCTTTATCACACTGTAAAGATGTGTAGAACTGTTAGCCTTCTTCAAGCCACTTCTTTGGTTACTAAGGAAGAGAAGCTAATTGTTGCGAATGCTCCTGGTTTATGTCCAGCATAACATGAATTATGTAGTGTGCATTTCAGTTTCTGTGTGTGTTATGTTACAGTGATTGTTGCCTGCCGACAAAATAACAGAAGCAGAAAAAATAAAGTTGCAAGAAACTAACTTTAGTGGGCTTGAGAGACAATGTATTGTCTGGCTAATTTACTAGCTTGTCATTAGGGACAAACTGCACTCTCTCAGAGGGGTGAGGGTAACATTAGTTTTGCTTTCTGCTTAAAAATGGAAAGTAGCAACCTTATCTTAGAAGCCCTTTTCCATCCTTTCTTCTTACTAACTTTCCTCTCAATTTTTGAAATTTCCAGGTAAAGGGTTAAAATGTTTGCTGTGCCTTCTAAATATCTAAACCCCTTGCAGGAACAGCAATATATATCTAAAAAATCGTAACACATGCATGCGAGAGAGAGGGAGAACCTGAACGTGTACAAAGAGGATCATGGATAAATAAACAGTGAGATTATATGGATTGCAGTTCTTGACTTCTCTTTTGTAATGAAGTTTACCGACTATCAGACAGTGATGTTTCCATGGAGCGGATTTTTAGCATTACCTAGCTACTATTCTTCCACAGTCGGCTGGAACTGGAATTGTATTTGTGGTTCCCCACAATCAACTATTTTACCTACTAACACTCTGGGACTCCTTTCCATGCTACAAATACTACAGTGGGTGGCACAGTTCTGGTGAGTACATCAAGTCTATTATAGAAAAGTAATACACTCCCTAGTTTTGTCCTAGCTGTAAAGTCGTCTGTGAAAACTCAACTGTGTAGAACAACTTTTTTTATTTTGTAAAGATGCAAAGCAGACTCTCAACCTGATAAAGTTAAATATGGATTCTGTACAACTCCAGTACAAACCTCCTAAAAGCCATCAAAGTCTAGGAGGCAGACGCTGTTTTTATACATGCATTTCCAAAGCTAACAAGAACCTGTAGCAGTTGATCACCACTGTGAGGTCTTTTACTTAAGAGCAAATGGGATTTAATGCACTCATAATAAAAATAATTGCTGCATTGTGCTATTGCACTTCTTCAAATCTTAGTGGTGGGAGGAGCAGAGAAGTGTGGAAAATAATATTGTCACCAACTACATCATCATATGGATCAAAGAGCCCTCCTGCAAGGAATGCAATTTAGGAATGCCATGCTATAGGAAAGGTGTGTGCAGCAACCCTGTTTGAAGTAACAAATAAAAATGCCACAAATGAGTGTGGGGAGCGGGCAGGCAGGGTGGCAGGACTGTGAAGAAAAAGCAGGATTCCAGAATGTAGTAATCTGAGAGTGGTGTGGTCTGGAATGTCCAGAATTAAGTAGGGAGAAAGCAGCCAGTATAGAAACACCCATTTCCAAGACTGGAAAGTAGTAGACAAAACCTGAAAGTCCAGGATCTCTTTCTTCTCAATCATCCCAGAGTGCAGGACACAGAATAAGGGGCTCCAGTTGCAGGAAACTAGTTCCAGCTGGATATCGGGAAAAACTTCCTCACTGTTAGAGCAGTAGAGCAATGGAATCAATTGCCTAGGGAGGTGGTGGGCTCTCCACATTGGAGAAATTCAAGATGCAGTTGGACAGAGATCTGTCAGGGATGCTTTCACTTGGAGTCCTGCACTGAGAAGAGGGTTGGACTCAGTAGCCTTATAGGTCCCTTCCAATTCTACTATTCTATGATTCTAAGTACATTCATGAATACTGTGCACAGGATTGCACAGTGCATAAACTCTCCCCCTTATTCCTAGCCACCTTCTCATTCTGGCAGTGACTGAAGCATTGTGGTTGAGATCTCTGGTGATCACAGTATTGAACCATAGTTCATTTTTATTGTTTTGGATCACTGGGGCTGCTGGCTGCTAAGATATTCTGATCTGAGACAAGCAATGCGTACTCTTTCAGAAATAATATAGTTAGCAGTATCAGTTTGGGGGAAAAAAACAATGTGGGATGCCATCCAATAACCCCCTAACTCAAAGGATTAGTCTTGGGCAGGAGGTGTGGGGAGAGAAAGACTGTCTCTGTGCTTCTGCACTTGCAAAGATGTAGGTGCTAAGTAAGAGATAATAAGCGGTCTTTATCTTTTGCCCCTGTTCGAACCCCTACGCTTGTGACTCTGGTGCCATGGCCAGCACAGAAAGACCTGCTGGCTGCAAGGGCAGTGGGAGCATACGCCATAGTCCAAGTCCCGGTTCTGACCTTGCAACACATTTCCAAGGTTGGAGCTGGCACCCTGATCTAGCCTATGCCCATCTACTTAGCATTTAGTGGCCACACGATCGTATCCAAATGGTACAGTATTTTTGCTCCAAGACAACTGGCTACCAGTTTCGACTGAATATTGGAGACTGTCAGTTTCACTTGGGCATGGGAATGGACTCTAAACAAGCAAACAAACAAAATACTTAATAGTCAAATAAGCTTAATTTCCACTTGTTTTCATGAAAAAGGCAATGGCTGTTTTACTCGTTTCAGTTTATGCTCAATAGCCACCAAACAACAAATCAACACTGTGTACATGTGCTTTTAAAGTAAGCGATACACCTGCAGTAAAATGACTACGTGTAGCTTTCCTAGGAAAAAAGAGATCTGAGTAAAATATACCAAAAGCACTTTAGAGATGCTTTAGACTCCTAGCCCCATCCTCCCACTCACGGTGTGCCACTGCCCACACAGGGATCCTTTGCTGTCCATCCATCCTCCTGCCCGGACAATCCTCCCATCTGTGGGTGTAGCCTGTGGTGTTCACACAGGAATGCCACTGGGTATTATTGTCTTTTAAATGGTACATGCTACATGGAGAAGTGTATTTGGGTTTGTGTACTGCTGTTATTCAATGGGGGGGGTGCTGTACAATTAAGAGAGAGAGAGAACACAAGATACCCCATTGAGCACCTGCAAGCTATCGACCATACCTAAATCAGATGTTTAGATCCTAGCCGATCGGTTTAACTGTTTTGTCAGACTTACAGTAAGTACAGCAATTAAATAGTTATCCTCTCCACAACTATTGAAATAATGCTAGGTTGTTTGCAGAAGGTACTCGTAGCTTTATATAAACTGAAATCTATCCAGGCCATTGTTCCTGTCTGTCTTGCTCATGTATAAAATCTCGGAGGAGGAATTTATTTCAAAAGTAAAAGAAGCTGGTGGGAGAGAGGCTTCAAACTCTCTTCTCTTGTGCCTTACCTTCTATCTTTTCACTGATCCAGCCATTTTTCGCTATTTCTGGTTTGGTTCAAGTATCAGATCCAGGAATGGAGAAAAAGGACTGCATCCACAGGCTTTAAAAGGGGTAAGTGCCAGGGGTGGCGCAGATTCTGCACCCTTCTCTCATGTACTCCGTTTACTACCTTTCTAGGTGAATGGGATGCACAGGTGAAAGAAATGTGCATTTGCCACCATCAGATTAAATTTGGTCCGAAAACCACAAGATCTTCTTTGATTGCCATGGAGAACAACTTATGCTCAGGAATTTACATCATTAAAAAAAGAAGCAGGTGGTTCTCTTTCAGTGTACCTTTGTGTGTATTGACAGCAGCATATTCAGCAAAAATGATATACTTCTGCATGTGAAAAAAATAAAGGTGGTTCCTTTCAAAATAAAAAAGTATAATAAAATATAATACAAAATAAAAAACATTTTAAAATGCAAACACAGTTTCTGTTTTAAAAACCCACTGGATTTGATTTTAGGATACGAATGTTCATAGTGGTTGCTCTGAAGTTAAAAGTGGTGAAATCCAGTTTTCCTTTTCCTAGATTAGCACACAAGGAAAGAGACAAAACACAATCATTAAATGAATATTAAATGTAAAGATGAAAGCAGAGTGGGCTGCATAAAGGATATTTCTGGTTAGAAATACCCGCTTCTGTGCATACATCATTGCCTATGCGAAGAAAATAACAAAAAGTAGTGTATATGGTTCCTGATACTGGGTTGGGGCGGGGCAGGGGAAAATGTTCAGCAAGGCAGAGTTGGCTGTACATACCCAGTCACTGTTGGAACATTAGCCGTTCAGCGTGTAAGCGCATGTATCCGAGTGCCGGACTCGCTTTCCCTTGCTCTCTCTCGTAAAATGATTGATTTTTACATGCTGCACTGGAGATGTACAAACTGGACGGGGGCCTGCATTTAGTAATGCTGGAATGATCGATGCCACGGCGGTCAAAGTGGGGCCACGAAGGAGGCTTCAGGGAAACACGCTAAATTAGACGGCCTGGTGTCTCAGATTCGAGGCTGCCCTCAAGGAAAACTCACTCAGCTCTCCAAAGCTGTCACTCATCGCTGTGTAGCTGGGCAAAATCTCTCAGTGGAGCAAAGAAGGCCATCCTATTGTTCTCCTGCAGCCCAGGGAAGCTGAGCAGCAGCCCTGGGTTGCTGGCAGAGAACCTACTCTTTGAAAGGAGTTTTAAAAGAACCTCTTCCCATACAACTACTAGAAACTCAAAACGAAATAGCTGCTTTGCATGGTCCTATTTGAAAAATCATACTTTTACTAAGCGAGGTTGTACCTGGTGGCAAATACATCTTTGCAAGAGCAAAGAGGCCAGAATTTGGGCTGAACTTCCACTGCCTATAAAACGATAAACCGTAGACTCACCTAGAGCAGTCATGCCCAGTCCATGGCGACGTGCAATGGCACCGATTGGGTCGTATACATTTCCCACCATTTAAGCATGGAGACTGACAGACAGCTGTATTTGAGGAAGATGCATACACATTTTCATCCATTTTGATTATGGCAATTCAGTGTATTTGTGCTGTTAACAACCTTTGTCTCTGACCATCCAAGCAAATGCAGATACGTAGTTAAAAGATAATGATTTAAAAAGTTAAAGGATAACTAGCTCTGGTTGGAATGTCCAATAGCCAGTGGAGCTATCCCACAAGTCACAGCAATACCTCCCTGTGCCCACTTCTTCCTTCTCATCGTACACCTTCTGCGTGTCTCACTGGTGACATCCTTCTTCCATCATCAGCAGGTTGTACTAATACTCTTACACCTTTGTCACCCACGCTGGCTTTTTCCTCTTTTTGCTGCTGAAAAAATGGAGTTCCCACTATTTTCACTAACGGGATCGAGTTCCCACTATTTTCACTAACGGGATCGAGTTCCCACTATTTTCACTAATGGGATGGAATGCACACTATTTTCTCAAGTGGGTTCTCCAGAAAAGTAGGCGAGTGCCACTGGAGAATGGCTTTGTTGACTGAGGGGCCCCTTCTCTTGGGGATGGACCATGTGCAACAAAGCTGTGTCGCCTGCCCTGTACCCCTTTTCCACTGGACAGAGGATGTAGGGAAGTCAAGATGCTCAGACCAACTTCTCATGGAGACACCCCAGACTCCAGAAGGAGTCTGCTTTCCCTGGGAAATTACACAGTGCATGAATTTCCCTGCCATTTCAACTGTCAGGGAATAGAAAATATACAACTAAGAGTAAATATCAACATGCAAAATTGAACATACTTCTGTCTCTACTGTGTTCAAGTTTGGCTAGAACTGAAGGGGATTTCCACTAATGCACCTAAAGGAAGCAAAAACCTTGTTACAGGAAACCGTATTTAACCAATTCATTCTGGTGGTGGAAAGATGTTGCAAGGCAGAAATCGATTTGTATATGTGAGTCTCAAAACCAAGGAGATAGGAAACAGAGTAAGGCACAAGAAGCTAATGAAAAATACAAGCCAGTTGATAAGGAACTTCCTTTGTTAAACTACTGAGCATAGCTATGAAGTGAGAAAGGTTATGTCAGTATAAGGAATGGCATGAAACTAAACTTCAAGGAACGAACTGACTTGGTAGAAAAGGTACCCTAACAGCAATGAATTAGCTGTGCTTATCTCACTGTATCAGCCATATAATTCTATTCAAAATGAACCCCAATAATGTCTTGATAAATTTCTTGAAATTCAGAAAGTAGGTTTAATATGAGTAACTGATATGCATGTTAATCTAAAAGTAAATGCAGTTTATTTAATGAGCTCCTTCTAAAGAACACTGGTGTACACTATTTTAAAAAGCAGGAAAGAACTGTAACCCTACAACAACTCTAATACCACCCCACCCCACACCCCACTCCCCTCACCACACTACGCAACACCGAATGTGCTACATACTATCAGTTCTGAAACAGGCAAAGACATTCAGCGATGTCCATCATGGCCTTTTCACAAATTGCATTTTAAAGTATACATAGTACATGCATTTTAAATGTGCAAAATGCATATGCTACAAATATAATTATTATAGACTGAATGTTGGCTATCAAATGTACACTTAGTAGCTGCTTCCCATTAGCTGCCATACAATGTCCTAGTTTATATTTAACACTAGCCATATTTAACCCATATTTTGTTGCCCACTCTGGATTTTCCTGGAAGACAACCAAACAAGCCATGTTTTGTTTTCTCAATCCCCTAGATGGATTGTTTCCCTCCCCCTTTGTTCTTTTCCTCCCTATATACCCAAATGCATTTGCTGTGCTAGCTTGCCAAGCAGCTGTTTCTGCCTCTGTACTCAAGTAAAACAACACACAGTTCTGGGTTCACATGTAATGAGAACCTGTAGACAATCTAGAGTTTGCAACTCAACAAGAAAATTAAACCATGGTTCCTCTTTCTGGTTTGTGGTTAACAAACCATTTTTTGTTAGCACGGTTGCATTCATGTATCACGATAATCCAGAATTCAACAACCCATACTATGGGTTAATGTTATACACAAACCAGGACAATAAGATGATACATGCAATCAAAAAACAAACAAGCAAACAAACCATGGTTTATTACCCATGGGCCGTTTGTGAGCATGTGGGAAAGAATGAGCATGCTGGTTCCCACCAGTTTGCCCACTTCTCCTTTCAATTAATAATAGAGAAACACCCCATTCTTAGGGCTGTTTTGTGATGTCCAAGAACCCAGAACTCTGTGTTGTTTAAGTGTTAAAGAGCTGAGAGTTTACCTAACAATCACCTCTGTTTTAGGTTATTTATTTATTTAAAACATTTTTATGCCGCCCCCCATCACAACAAAGCCTCGGGGCGGCTTACAACAGGTTAGCTCTGGGTTAACCCGTGTACAACCCAGAGTGTCCGTTTTAGCATATCATGAAACAACCCAGAAACTGGGCATTCTCAGACTGTTAAATGAAAGTGGAACTCAAGTGTGCAACAGCTTGACTGGCCCTTTAAGGAAGCTGTTGCCTGCAGTGTGGGGGAATGAGCTGACAGGAGAGTACCAGTGCATGAGTGGAATTCGGGCAGCTTTGATGGACATATGGTCTTTCAATATATTTTAGCAAATTTGTGAAAACTTTCTGAACAAAAATGCAGCATGATTTGGCATACCAGTTGAAGAACATATTGCATAGATTTTATGGTTAAAATCTGCTAATATTAAGAACACCCTAAACATTGCTGTGACTATGTGTGTTTTAAGACTGGGGGCAGGATGGCAGAGGGTTGATGGCAAAGTTAATAGTACAGGCAAATTTGACACATGTCTGCCTTTGGTTGAGGAGACTGTGGTGGGCAGGGCTGTCTTTACCAACCCCATGTCCTCCAAAGGCTTTGAAGGACAACTCCTTGGATTCTTGACCACTGGCTATGCCAGCAGGGGTTGATGGGAGTTGCTCCAAAGGGTAACAGGTAGGGAAATGGGACGAGGAAGATCCGAAAGAGAGACACCTCCTCACTCCTGGCTGGAGATGCCGTAATCTATTGTTGTGTGCAAAGGCAAATAGCAACCAAATGCAGAAGTTGTAGGACAGACATAGATCTGCAGATGTTTTAGGGTGCTTGTTTTAGCCCTAGAGGTTTGACATGGAGCAGCAGACTTTGGACACTGTTGGAGTGGTCTTTACGTTGTGCTTCCACATGTACCTTTGTATGCCTGCAGCGGCCTCCTTCCAAAGGAAATCCAACCTGTGTAAGAACTGCATGCTTGACACATCTCACTGCCTGCAAAGCGGCATGAGGGCTACACTAGAAAACTTGCATTGCAGGACCAATCTGGAAAAGCACTTATTTTTAAAAAACGAGAGTGCAATACCATCCCTCAAATGGTCCCCTAATGCTGTGAACACTGTTGTTCTTTCACAGTCTGACAGCGACTGTCCAAAGAGATGCTTCTCCTTGGCTAAACACTGCCGCGAGATTGTACGAAATGTTAGCCGAAAAAGGCTTACCTTGGTGGCATCGTGATCCAGCCCATCCGGCTGGGCACTCACACTGGTAAGGAGCCACACAGCGACCGCCATTCAGACAATGCAGGATGCAGATTGCTAAAGAGAAGACAGGACCACAAAAACCTGTTTCATTAAAAAGCAATGTTGATGGCGCTAAAGACTTTCACACATAACTGAAACATCATCGGTAGAAAAAGCATAAAATGCCCATGAGGGTGGAAAGCTTATCTTAGGGACTGGTTAACTTGGAAGAATTATGATTGCGCGTCTACAAATATCTACAAATATTCCAGATGCACAATGAGCATGGTGGAAGGGAAAGGAGGGAGGCCCCTGTGGAACTTTAAATGAAAGGAATACATAAATATAGAGGGAGGCAGGGGACAAAAAAGATAAAGGCAAAAAGGCCTGCGGTATCAGAGACTGTGTTCTCAAAATGCATATTCATGGGATTTAAGACATGGATATGATGCCTTCGTGAAAAGTCTCTTAGGAGTGATTAAAAATGGGTAGGCAAAGGAATGAGAAAGGAACACCTGAGTAGGGGAAGGAATGAGAGAGAGAAATGGGCGGGGGAGCAGTTCAGTCAAACTCTTTTAGCCAAGAGTACATTTTCCCATCCCCATGTTTCTGTTTCCCTCCCCATCCAGGCTTTTACTTCTTTACGCTGGTTCATACACACACATCCTTTGGCCTGTGACAACTGTGACTTGCAGCCATGCAGCGTGCTTTCAGACAAACCTACTGGCTTGCCTCTTTCACAGAATTGTACAGAATGTCTTCCACTCATAACAGTCATGTTCCCCCCCACCCCCCGCCCATAGCTTCTATCCTTTTTCTAGCAGAAAATCCATTAAAGAAAGTTAGAACCAGGGTGGGGTAGTTGTTAACAGTGTGGGACTGAGACTGAGGAGATCTGGGCTCTAGTTCCCAATCAGCCATGGAGCTCACTGGGTGATTCTGCGTCAGTCAAAGACTCTCAGCCCATCCCACCTCACAGAATTGTTGTGAGAATAGGATTGAGAGGAGGAAGAGAACTGTGTCAGTTGCCTTGAGTTCCTTGGAAGGAAAAAGGCAGGCTATAAAAATGAATGAATGAATGAATGAATGAATGAATGAATGAATGAATGAAGTCAGTCCGTCCATCCATGATGGAATTCTGCACTATGTTTTCAAAGTGCACTATGAAACCATTCTGCACTATGCTTTACACACACACACACACACACAGAGAGAGAGAGAGAGAGAGAGAGAGAGAGAGAGAGAGAGAGAGAGAGAGCGCGAGCACGCGCGAGTGTGCGAGAGGGTTTTGCTCTGCTCTTGTCAGTTTCACCACAGTTCTGAGAAGGACATGAATAAAATCAATAACAAAGAGAAAGAAGCTTTTCTTGGGAAAGACTTCCCAAAGGCTGACAACATTCATTACCACAAACTACTTATAAGTGTGCATGATTGCACTGGTGAATATATAGGTAAACTGTTATACTTCCCAATCGTCCTTGCACGCACAGCCTTTAATTCCGCCATGAAGGAGCTGTTGGAGGAATGGCTATGGCCTCACGCTATGGCATCTTCCACGCCAGACTCCTTGCAATGTGATGACATGAGGCAAGGCAATGCTAAACCTCCTTCGCAGGTTGATACTACCTAAGCCCACCTCCCCAAAGCAGCCTTGATGCATTCGGACAGCTGTCTGTTCCTCTGCGTGTAGAAGGGAAGTAGGAAGTACATTGGAGTGGCAGATTACCGTGACCAGGAGCATAAAAGCAGTTCCTAAGTGTTGACGTCTGAGCTTAGCAGAACTGTCAGCACTAAGGTAAGAGAATGAGTTGTGACATGTCAAGCACAGAGCAATACTCTGCTTCACCTCTGGCTAAACCTCCTGGGCACAATGGGAACCCTATCTGGAATAGTGCTTCAGAAACTCCCATTCCACAATTAGGAAAGGCAAATTCCTTTATCCGACATATAGGCTGTACAGCTTTGGAGAAATCTGTGTGAATTACTGGGAAACATGGAATGGCTTTATACATTTAGGCTTGTTTTAGTAAATTCGAAAACAGTTATAGTAAATTCTAAGCATATATTTGCATGCCCAATGGTAAAAATGATGGAAGGCCACTTTATGGTTCCTTTCCAAGAATGTGGACAGTTCGTCCCACAACAATCAGAAGCTTTTAGCCAAATCACCTTGCACAGTCAATACTGGAGCCTGAAATATTATCAGACACAAAAACATGGAGAGCCTTCTAATTTTCTCTGAAAAAGAGCAACTAGTTTTATACTGGCGAACCAGATTCTGTGTGGGAATATCATTTTGCTTGCAATAATTCTAACCTTGCAGATTTCTTAAATTCCATTTATGACAGGCACATCAATTCTATTCATGACACCTGGTTCTTGGAAGGGAGAACAAAGATAGAGGAAGCGCTAATTATGAAAAAAGCCATGCCCAGTTACCAGAGAGAAAACCACACCTGTGCAGGATTGTTTGAAGCCACTATTGTGAAACAGACCTTCTCTGCTGCTACCTTGGGCAGGTAGGCCTACAGCAGGGTTTGGCGCAAGCCTTGCTAGGAAAGGAGCACATTCATATGGTGCCTCTGCTCATTAAAGCATCTTAACCTTTATTGAAAGCCGCACAGAGAGCCCTTGGGCTACAGGGTAGCATATAAATATCATAAACAAAGCCCAATAATAAACACTAGTTAAGCAGAAAAGCAGGTTGCTTACCTGTAACTGATGTTCTTTGAGTGGCCATCTGTGCATTCACACATATGGGTGCTGCTCCTGCGCAGTGCCTAGGCTGGAAGATTAGAAAGCTAACGGTTTTGGCAGGAAAACTCCGCTCCCCTCCCCCTCAGTGGTATAAATAGGGTGGAGTGTTCGCCATTTTACTCAGTCTTGAGGACCAAACGTTCACCCCCTTGAGGTTGAAAGCATATGACAGGAAGTGTCAATGGTACCAAAATATTAAAGCATGGTACAGAGAAAAAATCATCCACTCACCGACACCGAGCGGGGCCGGCGGGTGGGTTGTGTGAATGCACAGATGGCCACTTGAAGAACAACAGTTATAGGTAAGCAATCTGCTTTTCTTCATCGTGGCCTCTGTGCATCACACATATGGGTGATTAGCAAGCTTACCAGACTTGGAGAAGAATAGATGAGAGAACTGCTCTGCCAAAGGAGCAATCCTGTCTGGCGCGGACATCCAGCCAATAATGCTTGGCAAAAGTGCATGGGGCAGCCCAGGTTGCACCTCTGCAGATACCTTGAAGTGGAACCCCCGCGGCAAAGGCAGACGAAGTCGCTACTGCTTGCGTAGAATGACCTCTTGGAAACACAGGTAAGTCTATTTTTGCTAACTGGTATGCCAGGACGATAGTTTCGATGATCCATTTAGAGAGTCTCTGAGATGTGACTCAGGACCCTTCATGATGTTCGGAATACTTAACGAAGAGTCTATTAGAACAACAAAAGGGTTCTGTATGAGATCTGTAAAAAGCCAAGCAGTGTCGAACATCAAGAGTGTGAAGAGACCTTTCTATCGGATTCGAAGGCAATGAAAGAACGCAGGCAAAACAATCTCTTGACTCATGTGGAACGGCATAGCCACCTTAGGCAGAAACGATGAATCCATCCGAAGAACGACCTTTTCCTCATGGAAATTCAATTACAGTGAGTCTATTCGAAGTGTGCAAAGTTTGCTAGCTCTCCGAGCTGATGTGACTGCTATAAGGAAGGCTGTTTTCCAAGAGATAAGGTGTGGGTCAACAGTCGCCAGAGGTTCGAACAGGGGCTTTGTAAGCACCTGAAGTACTATGGAAATGCTCCACGTTGGCATAGCAGGACGAATGGAAGGATGTAAGTTCTGTAATCCCCTAATGAAATGCTGAACCAGAGGTTGAGAGATCAATGAGCCTTGTACAGCGCCACGATAATGTGATATGGCAGCTGCGTAAACTTTAATGGATGATGGTTTAAGTCCTGAGTGGTACAGTTCCAGGAAGAATTGTAAGATGTTCTCAATTGAAGCCATCCCAGGAGGAAACGAATGGCGTTCGGCAAAAGATGAGAATCTCTTCCATTTTGCCGCATAAAACTGAAGGGTGGACGGTCTTAAAGCAGATTCGAGAATCGCTTGAATTTCCTGATCGAAAGCTGTCGGTACCAAAGTGGTCGTTGTCGAATTCGAGGGAGAAGCCGTTTGGTACAGTTCGTCGAGCCGGGTTCTCCGGTGCTGGAGATGTCGTCAGTACTGAGTCAGCCGCATGGTTTAGCTGATGTGCCAGGCAGTCAGCTTCAACAAGGTCAAATCTGGATGCCGGATCGCTCCGTTCTGCTGTGTTAACAACTGAGGAATTGTTGGGAGCTGAAGGGACATTCCTCTGGATAGTTGAAGGAGAGTGGTAAACCAAGGTCGTCTCGGCCACCATGGGGTTATTAATATCCCTGTGATGTTGTCTTGAACTATTTTTGATGCCACTCTTGTTAGAAGTGGGATTGGAGGGAACACATAGAAACTCATGTTGTCCCAAGGGATCATGAGAGCATCCCCTGTTGATCCTGATCCGATACCCGCTCTCGAACAATACCGATCACATACCCTGTTGTCTCGGGTAGCGAACAAGTCCCTGTCCAGGTAACCCCATAAACGGAAGAGGTTTTCGCAAAGTTGTCTGTCCAACTCCCACTCGTGGGTTGTTGACATCTGACTGCTCAGCATGTCCGCTTCTATGTTGTCGGTTCCTACCAAGTGAACCGCTAGGAGTAGTATGCCCCTTGGGATGCACCAATTCCAATTTTCCATCAATAGATGGGCTAAAGTTGGTGACTTTGTCCCGCCCTGCTTGTTGATGTAAAAAACAGCAGCGATGTTGTCCAACGCAATCTGGACAACTTGGCGGCATAGTAGTCTCGAAGGATTTGAGAGCGTTGAAAATCGCCAGAAGTTCGAGGAAGTTGATATGCTTTGTTGCTTCTTGTCGGTTCCAAGTCCCTTGGACCCGAAGTCCTGAACATGCTGCACCCCATCCGAGTAGGGATGCATCGGTGTACAGGGCTGTTGTTGGTTGAGGCGGTTGGAACGGAAC